GCATCAGGAAACTAAATGATGCAGTGGATAGAAACCAAGTTAAATGAGCCTCTTCAAAAATAAAAATAAAAATAAATTTTGCAATACTAAACGACAATAGGGCCCCTTAGCTAATTAGATAGCAAAGGAGTATATGTATATAAAAACACAAAGGCAAAAAAAACGAAACAGCCCTGAGATAGAGCTGATGATATCGTAAGTAAATAATAACTAAATGCAAATTGTGCCATATAAATTATTAAGTTGGTAGCAAAACTAAGTTCTCATAAATACAAAAAGGATGGGTGTTAAGTAATTGACTCACCGATGGAGCTGCAAATGCATACTCTGGGCATTCCGGCACATCCGAATAGATGTTCCGGTTGCTCGAGAATGGATCCGATAAAGGCAAAGTTAAGGAAGGAGATTGGCTAAACACGAGACTGGGCGATATTATTGATGCGGTAGTCAAAGTGAAAGAGGTAGGAGATTCTGGCATAGAGCATTCATTGGCGCCATTCTTCGGTCTGGGTTGTGACACATTGGCCTCACTAGGCTTCGAAACTGCCCCTGACACATGTGTGCTAGAGATAGGTTCTGAAACAGAGGTTAAGGACAGATGTGAATTTTTATTTGCGAACTTAAGACAGTTACTGGTGGCATTGATACTGATTCCAGTATTTGTGGTTGCGCAACAAAGAGTGGAAGGATGATCAGGCGAAGACAACTTTCTCAGCATTGGCGGAATGACGCTAGCAAGAGGAGTACTCGAGATGGAAAAAGATGGTACAGAGGCGTTGATAGCACAGGTGCAGGTAGTGGTGGGAGAGTTTATTCCTACAGAGGATGAAGTATAAGTGATACATGAGGGAAGCGTCTGCCCGAGAGTGGGGACCTGGCCAAGCGAAGTCTGTTGACAGAGGGCACCAACCAACTGGTGCCCGCTGTGGCAAGGCATATGTGCGTGGGACAATGGACGAGTATGCTGCAGGTGGTGATGTAAAGCATGGCCGAGTTGGCGTTGAGCTGAATTTTCAGACGAAATAGTGCCAATAGTCCCACCAGTTCCACTGCAGCTAACGACATTGCCGACACTTGCATTGGTACCAGAATTGACTGCACCAAGAGGATGAGGCAATTGCGTAAGCTGATGGTATTGCTGGTGCAGAATAGAGTTGTGGCGGCAATTGTGTCCCGGACAGAACTGGCTCGTAGGCCTAGATGTAGCAGAGGGTATGGCACCGAGTCCAGGACCAGAAGTCGAAGACGAAGGCCCACTGTAACCAATAATCGGGGTGATAGAAAGGGAGCATGTCATAGTGCTAGTACAGGGTGGTGAAGTTGTGATCACTTTGCTCGCAGGGCACACAAAGATATCATCAGCACCGTACATCTTATGCGCTTTGCGGTTCATGTTAGCCAGGATCTCGTGGGACAACCGATAAGCCTCAAGGAGCTCCTCTTTCCACTGATTAATGAGTATTTTATCCTGTCGGATGATAGAAAAGAATAAAAATTGAAGCAAAAATAGAATCCCAATATGCTAAGCGTTTGTACAAAATGTTCACATATTGAAGTTATGCTGGGTTATACGAAAGGAATATAATAATATAAGTATCATATATTGAAGAAATTGGAAAGTGTAAACTTATTATCTTACGTTCAGAAGTAGTTTATTAAAACTACCAGTAGATCTGATAAGAGATGTATTCATCCTATTCTATTTATGAAAATGATGAATTGGTAGTAGAATTTTCCAATAACGATATAAATAGGCCTGAGGTTTTCCAATGAATTTCACATAGCCTTGCTTCTCAAAAGCTATTCTCATCCAGGCTGATGAGAATACCTTTTGGGAAGCAGCGTTATGAAAAATTCAATGAAAATCTTAGGTCTACTAACATTGTGGGAAAATTCAACTACCAGTCCTTCATCACCTTCAACGAAATAGGGTAAACGCATTTCATAATTTTTATCGTCATTATAAGCATTAAAAATCAGAAAAAACTGAATTACTGGCCTCTAGTGACTTAACCCTACTACTCCTCACAACACTTATCTTTGTTTTATCACAAGCTCAGCTATCGACTAACATTCTTGTAACAAAGACCATTTGTGAGTATGGTCCATTCGTATAATTCGTTCGCATTTACTAATCAAATCTCGTCGCTGCATCAAGCCTACCTAAGGACCTATCATATCGTGAACCTTCAAATCAAAGATAGCATTAAAATCATGCAAGTTTCTTATGCAGGAAGTAGTTTGGAGCCAGTGATTTCTCCTGGATCCTGCCTCCCTTGAGGCAGCCGACTCGTCATCGTGCACCACTATCGTTCTCTGCTCTCTTAGATAAACCGTCTGCCTCAGAATCAAGCCCGACGCTCGTCTCCTTTACAGTCTGAATACCCACTCTGACAGCGCCGTATCGTCACCCTAGCTGCTATACTCCTGGATGTCAAACTGATGCATCTTAAATGTGTGTGCTACAATCTCGAACGTCATTCCACCCCCATTTACATCCTCGAAGTTTAAAGTCGGTAGGTCCTCCGTTTAAGGAAGACTGCGCTCAGCTAGCGTCATTTTCCCGTGCAAGGCTTGACAATAAGTTTCGAACCTCCGCATCTATAGGGCAACCGTCGTTCCTCAGAACTTTGCCGCAGGGCCGAATTCAAATCAGCGTCGCCTATCTGAGGTGGGCCTTCATAGCGTCTTATCCATTTGCGCCATTGCAACAATTCCAGCAAGCTCCATTAGTTGCTTTGCTCCACCTCAACCTCCACCATCATTCCTCCTGTTCTTTGCATCTTCCTCACGGAAATACATGCAAGCAATTGGAATTGTACAACTTCAATACCACGTCCTCCAGTATTTTGTCTTCCATCAGATCACAGCATAGGTCTCTATGTATACCTAATATTCAACATGGATTCGCCGATCATAACACTGGTGAGTGTCGATCATACTTCGGCTAACATTAGCCTACAAATAGACTGAAAAATTGTTCATAAAAATCTAACGAAAAATTTATTGTCCTTAAGCTCCTCAGCCAAAACCATCAGGGCTAGAGAAAGATTTGAAATGCCAGGCAGTTTAAAAACGCTACTCGAATAATGAAATAGTTATTAAAGAAATAAGGCCAGTAGTGAATATGAAGAGGCCAAAAGCAGCGCGGCCTGCATAACAAGATCGTCTCTAATATGTCGACATATAACGTCCGATTCTGAACTGAAGCCAAGATCAACCCCACATGCATCAACTAAATAGAAAAAAATGCTTTGCTAGCAAAATAATGTTATAAGAGTAATATGGTAATATGTCTTAGGACAAATCATACAAATCCTGAGCAATATTATAAAATGAAAGGATTATTGGCACAAAACAACTAAATCTTTCAGCGAATTCTTTATACCAATAAAAAATCCAACTCTTGCATATTAAGGCTTTCTACTTAAAATTTACCACACAGTGCTCTTTCGACAATATAAACTAGAACCATAGAATAATTATCATACTCAATTCTGCTTCTAAATATGCCTAGTTTATAATATTTCATGGAAATTTCAGTTTAAAGCATCTAATAAAGCTGATAGAAAAGTGGTTAGATGAATCAAATTTAGTGAATAAAACAAGACCGATAGCTTAACTATCAAGCTCTAAAACAAAGAAAGGGCCAATTATGTCCGCTTGAAATAATCCCAATATATAGATAATTTTAAGCATAAAATCCATCCTTATGAAAACCTTGGTGTATGACTAAAAAGTCACTAATGTCAAAAAGCGTTGGCATAAAAATAACTTAGCGAAAAAGCAAATTGCTTAGGAGATATATTATGGATGAACTTTTTCAATGTAAATAAAAAGTTTGTAATGATGCTCAGCTATCAAAAAATAAAGTAAACTAATGAGGTAATGTAATTTTAACTATGCATTCAAAAACCCTAAATGATGTGGGATTGAGCATAAGGCGTACATATACGATCAGTACAAGGTATTTGGTCATATAGCCACGCTACAAGATGTATGTGCAAGCCCAGAAATATAGCCTCAGTCAAAAAGCACTCGAGTTAAAAATTCGAACGAGGTTGCCAGTCTTTAATATAATTATTTCACATAGAAAGAGAGAAGTTAACTAGACCCTAAAAACGCGGGGAGCTAAGTTAAAGGAATAATCGCAGAAAGAAGAAAAAAAGTGTAAGGAAATAAACATTATAAGACTGTCTAGTAGATCGATAAATGATAAAAAGTTCTGTAAAAAAAGCATAATGTGGCTCCGTCAAAACGGACGGAGAATTAAGGTTTAACAATGACTAATTTTATAATATTTAAAAAAATGCGTGATGCAAATGAAAAGAATCAACCAAATACTGGCTAATGAAAGGAGAGTACATAAAAATAAATCTTAGTCAAATCATACCATAAATTAATAATGGAAAGGATATTGCGGTTAGGGATAATGAGAAGGATATTACAAAGATAACGTAAATCATTCATATCATAAAAAGGAAACCGTTAAGTATAAATTAATAATAATTAATCATCACCTTAAGGTAGACAGTATGGGAAAAAAGAACGCTAAGTTAACAAGAAATACTTATTTAGAAGGAAGCGTGAGAATAGAAAATAGGGTGACAAAATTATATAAAAGGGATTAATGATATGCATAGTCAAATTTACTGAGCTTTGTGTGGCCAACTTCATTGATATAAAAAACATCATTTCCTTTAGTAATAGCCAAATGGAAATGCTATAAAATTTAATCGAGATAGGTGATGTAAAACCGAATTTGTTTATACAGCAGAGTATCTTTACGACATTTCTCTATTTCCCAAACCGCTGAGGCAAGTAAATAAAATTTAAAAAGATATAAATAGGTTGAATAATGATGCATCCTGAGCATTTTATGATACTATTTTTTTCATAATTGTTAAGGCCGATGAACGTAAAGGTCAAAAGAAGAAGTTTTGCGAGCTCAACTGTAAAAGGTTTATAAAATTATTTTGAGAATAATAGAGAACGAAAGATGTTCAGATCTCAGATACTTGGGAACTTTAATTCTGTCCAAACAGCTCGATTCGTTTAAGACTTAAATTTAAATAATCTATACAAATCTAAAATGTGGTCATTTTAAATAAATATAGAATACGAAAAGGCAAAGGTGAGTAGAACCTAAAGATTGAAATAAAGCAAACCTTAATGTTGAGTGTACAATAAATTGTAGATAAAGCACAACTAGATTATACAGAAAAGATTTTGGAAGATAAGAAGCTCAAATACTATTTTACAAAAATATGAGGAGCTCAATCGGATAGGGTAGATGAACAGTGTATCAGTTCAAGGGCAAGTTACCAAGATAAATAATCATATTAGACTATTATCTCTAATGTTTTATGCTATGATGTATCAGATAAATTTCAAAAATCTCAGAAAAGTAGTTATTAGTATGGAATAGAGTTACAATTCTCATGATTCTCTCAGGAAACAAAAAAAATTATAAGCAGAGTGTAGTTGAAAATTCTTAAATAGATTTAATGAACTACAGAGATGAACGAATCTGTATAAAAATGGGATCACATACTTTATCCTAAGACCTAAGTAATTGTGATCTATAATTAATGGATAAAATTAACCAACAATTGTATGAACACAAGTTGATTAAGATTGCAATCGAAAATAATATGCCAATTTAGAGGGTCTAAAAAAGAAGGATGCGAAGGTCATATCCATTAGACTACCAAAACGAAATAATTTGAAAATCGTTTGACCTTGTTTTCACAACCTGGTCATGGCAGGAATATCTAGAGGAACGCAACTTGTCCGAAGTCCATAGTACGCATGATAATTTCCAGAGTCGGACCGTGGATTTGGTAAATTCCTAGACGTTTCCCGGCATCGTCAATGAGCCCTGCCATTCTTAGTACCATACTACAAACTTGTCAAAGGGACAAGTGAAATCGATCCTCTGACCAAATGAGTGCTAAACAGTTGTGGTTTCTCTACTTTTGTGCTGGGCCATTCACCTATCTTATATCCTTATATCACCCCTTTAACATCACAATTTCTACTTGTTTATATAGACCTAGTTGAAATCTATTCACACTCCTCGCTGGTTTCCTCATCCCTCTCATTGTGACGGGAGTGTTGATCCAAGGCTGCAGTTTAATCAGCAAACCTCTCTCTTCGGGTCCTATCAGTCATCTTCTTGCTCCGTGTGATTCTTCCCTTATCTGTCTGTTTTAGTGATTTCACTCTATCGCTGCCACTGTATCCGTGATACTCAAGACGTTTTCCTACACTCTGCCTCAAGCCTTTGATAGCATATATACACCATCCTCACTGAGTATGCCCCTAAGGTCTGTATTCTCAATTGGCATGATAACCTAACTTGACGCT